CCATGGCCGAGACCAGGCTTTTACTCACGAATGGGTGCAGGGCCCTGCGCCTCCGAAGCGCCGGTTGCGTTGAGGCGTTTTCTTCCAGGTACCTTCCAATGAATCGCAATTAAATAAGTAGTTTCAGTATATCATATTATATGGTTATAAAGGCAACTTCACAAATGAGTAACAGAAAAGTACGAATGGCTCATGTCGCCAGAATGTAAATTCAACTACAATACATATGGACACTTATGCATTTGAAAATCACAATGATACGGAACTTTTATAAAAGTCTTGAGAGTGAGACTGATTACACTGAAATTTCTGTCGTTACGAAAGCTGCGACTTATATTCTGTAGGCATTCAAACGGTTCTGAGATAATTCACATAAAAGTCCATGTATCCTTCCTTGTCCAATGTCCGGGATATATAAAAACATATGACTCTTTGTGTATTCCTTTCTCTGATAAACTTTTGCTATTTCTTCAGTGAGATGGAGAACTGTAATGCTGTGATCTGGATTCCATCTGGTAATCTGGAAGATATTTCAGCTTTACTCTGTGACAGGAAATGTCAAAATCAAACTGTTTGCTTCTTATTTCTCAGAATGAACTCAATGAGGGGGTAGGACTGACTAAAGCTAAGTCCTTCATATAAGTAAACTAATGCTCCTGTAAGAATGTTAATAATACTTTCTCCGAGTACAATTTTTTTTTTTTACAAAAACAACAACAAAGGCCACCGTAAAGCCTGTTATTTGAATAATCTGTTACATAGAACGAGTTTATCAGTCAGATTAACACGAAAGGAGCGAATGGAGCATTTTTTGGCAACCACCGCCATGCCTCGTCGCTGTGCTGTTGCACTCGTTCGACCGCAGCGCCCCCAGCGACCGGCGCGCGCACTTCATTACTCGCGGGGGTAGGGTGTGTGGCGGAGGGGGAGGGGGGGGGCGGCCGACACAAAGTTAAATGCAAACGATGAGACGCCGCACAAAGGAGTCGCTCCCGAACGAAATTGAATGCGAGCCGCAAAAACGAGGACACCAGAACAAAATAACAATAATATTAAAAATATAAAAGTAGAAATGCCAGGCAAAAGAAAAAGCCGATTTAAGCGGTTCGTGAGCCCAAACAAATGACAGGCGCTGTTTTTCGTGGCGTTGCGCATGCGCGAGCGAGTTCAAAGAGCCTCATCAGCGCAGATATGTCACTAATCCCGCCGCAGAGTCCGCCCCTTTCGCGTTAATGGCGAAGCCGACCTTTGACCCTGTGAACGCTGTGCCCGCAACCAATTATCTGTCAGTGCTCTGCATTCGCCGAAGAGCCGTCCGCGTCGCGATGGCCGAGGTCACAAATGCACGAGGTCGCGGGTTCGAGGTCCACTTCGGCAGCGGCATTCATCAGGATGGAAACGACTCTGGCCGTGAGGCTCTAGGGATAGAGTCCACAAAGTGGCAGATTTTCGACAATAGCTATAAACTGCAAGCAGGAATTCAGTCGCTGACTCGAAGATAATTTTAACGGTCGGCTGTTCTGGTCGGTAGTTTTCCATGGTTTATTCGATCAATTCCAGGCGAATGCTGAAGCAGTACCCTAACATACGCGCCACTCGCCACACGCGATCCTTCATCTTCACCTGCTCTCTCCCTTCACACAGACATTTACATGGAATACACTAGCATATACTCTTGGGTTCGTTCACAATACGCCAGACGACGGTAGCCACCTTGCCTTTTAACAGTAATTCCATTAAAATATACTATTTTTTAAAAAAATTCGCACAAAAACTTATGTTGCCAATTTTTTAAGAGATGTTTCTGGCGCACTGGTATCAAATTGCTGGACACTATCCTGAGCGTCGCCTCGCCCGCCAACATCGCCGAAGACTGTCTTTCCCACCTGGGTTTGTAAATAAGTATTTAGAGCAAACTGCGAATTCGTGGAAACTTTGAAGTACCATTTTCTATTACATAAACCTTTCGTTGCATAGAGATATTGTCACCACATTTGGCATGAACACTTTTGAGCAGCCAAGAATAGAAAATTGCGCTGTCGCTATTCAAAACGAGTCATTTGACCATATTTCGTTGAATGAAATCCCCTGTGCGTGTGTGTGGGCACTCACCGACGACCTGCATCTCGCCGTGGTCGGAGACTGTCTGGAAGGACGGCGCTTCGGCCGACACCTCGCAGCGGTAGCGGCCCGACGTCGCCAGCTGCACCGCCGTCAGCTGCACCAGGCTGGCCGACGACTGCGACATCTGCGGAAACAAAGAAGCACGTGTTCGTTTTCACTCAAATCTCTTGGCTTAAATACCTCCGGACTTAAGAGTTTTTCGATGCCACATTTTATTCCAAAAAGGTATTTTAAATATCTACAAGTTAGCATCAAAAGTCATTTTTTTTACTGTCGCCTTTCTCCCTACTCCTTCATAGAATCTATATAGTATTATAATCGTAATAATGCCCTGCAGCTGCAAAAATGCTGAACAAAAGGGTTTTCGAAGGAGGAGTTCGTATACTACTGCAGAGCGACAAATAAAATACTTTCACATAACACTGCAATAACGTAGAATATAATTTACACAGTTCAATAACAAAAAAAAAAAGTAGCTGTTTCGTTCGTCGAAGAGCAAATATTTAATGGCGGGTTGACTCTTTTTCAGAACTTTTTTCTTAAAAATAATGTAGCTCTGAGTAAGTGTATTCAGTCAGAACATGTGAATAACCACAATAAAATATTAGAATTTTCCATCCAAAATCGAAATTTTCATTATTTTTGGATTTTTGCCGAGTACAAGTGTATCTAATAAAATCATAGGCACCTCTCGTATGACCGAAGGCTACATAGTTTTTTTAAATTTCTGTGGTTATTGGAAATTAGTAGTATAGATAGTCCCACTTCTCTTCCTGCCCAACTTGCGAATCGTCATTCGCACCGCACTCTCGCCTGCATCCCCAGGTTTCCTTCTCCAGACCCCACCTCCAATTCTCGTCCAAAGATCTCATGCGAAGAATTACCACTCCGCACCAGGGTTGCCACATCTCCGGGTTTGACCCGGAGACTCCGGGTTTCATAGACAATCTCCGGGCTCCGGGTTATATACAAAATGTAATACCTTTTTTCACTTTTTATAAAAGGGTTTAATCTGTGTTGAATAATTTTATTTTATCGAATGATTTCATATAAATTTCAATAAATGACAGAAAATGCAGACAATTATTGTTTTTTCTGCAAGGGTTGTCAGATGTCAGTGATATATGCATAAGAAAACATCTGTAATTTTCAGTATTTGTTCTTAAATCATCAATTCGAATCAGCCAATCATGGATACCTACGGATTTCGGCTCGACGGATTTTAACGCGTGGTCAAAACATGTTAATTTGTCGCCATCTGTAGTAGATGTATTGACTAGAGTCAAATCTAGGAATTTTTACATTCTCGGTTTTCTGTTTGTTATAATATGGCGGTCGTAGTATTGGGTTTCCAAATTTAATTGCCTTGTTTCTTATGCTCAATTAGTAATATTTCTTTTGAATATTTATTTTTTTACACAAATCAATTGATCTTTGTAATATAATAAGCTAAGGATTATTTTAAATATATTTTAGTGTAAGATATAAATATATAAAGTACATATATACTTTTTATTGCGAATCTGTTATGAACAAATTCTTAGGAAAAAGTACATTGAATTTCTCTGAAATTTCATTTTACTAATTTATCATTATATTTATTTTACATTGTTCACGCAAACATGCACACTGAATAATCACCTCCCCCCCCCCGGTAATCAATCATCACCGGGTGGCTTCCATCTCGAAAGTGGCAACCTTACTCCGCAAAGCAGTGTCCACCTCTTCTAAAAAGAGTTCGCTTGTGACCCGAAGACTCAAAGCGTCTCCTTCCGACAAATGCCCCTTGGGTTTGCCTTTAATAGAAACCTCCTTCAAAGGAGTGCTTTATTAGGAATCTGTGGTTCATCATAAAAAATAGCTTTTGGGAAAGTGGAAAAGTTAAGAATCCGAGAGAATGCTTAAAGTCGAGTGTGCTAAATTTGACGAGATAATTAATTTTTACGTTCGACGGCAACGCGTTGGCGCCGCTGCTGCGCCGGTCCGCGGCGGAAGCGACATGGCATCACGCGCTGCCAGGCCGCCAGGGCGTTGGCGCCGACATTAGCGGGAAGTAACACGCGACATTTGCCGTTTTGTGCACCATCGAGTTAATAACCGATGCTCGTAGTGGTGGCGGAGCGCTCTCTATGAATTTGGAACTTAGTTAGTCACTAGCGTTTGTGCGGACAGCTTTTCAAAAATTCGAAATTAAAGTAGCGAAATAAGCACAAGGCATTTCATTACAGCACAAGGCATACATAATACATCAAAACGATGCTATAGCTTATTGAACGCAATAATGCATTCGAAAGTGTCTCAATGATTATTTTTTCATTCGCAACACTACAAACAAACTAAACATTGAATAAATACGAGAAGAAAGTAAAATCGTTTCACAATCAAATACATTCTTCAAAATACTATGATACTTTGATACTATGATAAATTGAAAATAAAATAAAATAAAATATTTTTCAAAGACATGGCACTAAATTCTTGATAATCCAGTCTTCAGTAGGCGGGCCCATATCTGGCCTCTAGTCGCTGAAGTAGAAGTACAACAATGACTTATCTTGGGCAACAATACGTTATTAGATAAATGTTAAACAATCCTATACACATTTGAAATTGTTACTTACATGTCTGTTCAGCACTATGGATTGTAAAAGGAAATACTTCACACGAGACCTCAAGCAGAAACTGTTTTACATTCCTTGAACCAAGGCAGTTCGCTGAAAGTCATTGCTGGGAAGTACAATGATTGAAAAGCAACATATTTTCTACGTAAATGAATGTATAGCAGCTTTGGATTTAATAAAGTACTGTATAGTTTTATGTGTTTAAACTCATTTCAAATATCAGTTTTAACAATGACATTTAATGTATTATATACCATTTGGATTGTATAATTGTAAAGAACCTGTAACAAGTCCTTGTTTTGCTTCTGGGCATAAATGTAACTTCAAATTAACCTCTCCCCATAGCACGTCACACAGTTTTTAACTTTTTTGACGTAAATAAATGTGTTTAAACTCATTTCAAAACCTTTCAATAGTCCGACCATAGACTAAGGAGGTATACATCATTACTCTATGGTCAGACTTCCTTAATGCGGCTCCCATATGTGCAAGGAATGACTAGAATAGCGAGTGTAGTGTCCTTACACTTTCATATAAGTTAAAACAAATTCTGACAGATGCTCCGGGACAGTTTCGCCTCTGAAAGGTTCCTGCAGTTCCTAATGAACCTCCGGTGGGAATGCAGAACTGTCAAATGCTTTTGCCAAATGGAAAATGCTTCATTCTTTCCAACCGCCAACTGTTGTTTGACGTGTATATTATATATATATATATATTATATATAACTATATATATATATATACTATATATATTACTATATATTTATACATATGTAATGGATAGTTAAGCTTGTTTACATTCAGACACGAGAGCGATGCCTGCTATTTGCCAGCTCTCCTGCCCCGCCCCGTTTGACAGTAATTCTACATCCTTGTGGGTCACATGACACAGTGGTGACAGGAAAATGCTTAACAACCGACGGGCAGTATAACCTTTCGAACATGTCCATCACTGAGTTCTTATTGATGTATTTTTCAATAGAAATATCGTCATTTGGTTTCACGCATTCATTATGGGATTATAGGGGCAAGAAGTTATAGAAACATCTTAAAACAACATTTCTGAGTTGAACACATTTCTTTGCCGCGGAAGAATGTGCATTACATGTTTTTGAAATTGCTGTAATACAACTTTTATGACTGTACCGCAAAATCTGTCATCCACTGCAATATCTTTAAACTGTCATTTCTATTGAAGTATTTAAACATTCCAACTAAACATAATTATGTAAAAACTCTTTAAAATTGAATGACACTTTAGCTTCCTGTCTCGCAGTTTCTGAGATTCCATAAAAGCCACCGGACGCAGAGAAAGAGGCGCGAGAACAGCAGGTCGGAGACGCCAATCGTCAACACTGAACGACGCGAACGTGTCAAGCATTCAGATGGTCAATAAACTGTTTAACAGAAGACGACGGTTTAATATGGCGATTTAGCATTGCAGAGCGTACAGCAAACAACTGCAATCTCTATCGTGTGTGCTTGCGTAGCTGCACCAAAGTGATGCGAAACCAGAACTGCGCATGGGCAGAAGATCGTTAGTGCTATCGACTGCTGTGTAGAAATTGCGTCGTCATCTTGGAGAAGCTCCCTCACTCCTCACTCTCGTCACCTCTCGACAGCCATCATCGCGCTGTCAGTCGCTGAGGACGGGAGGAGGGGAGTACACCACCTGAAAACGCATAGCCCGAATCCACCCCGCCGCTCGTATGAGGATTCAATTCTACGTCTCACGGGGTCTGCTTAGAATCATATTGATTGATTATAATTTATCCTCTTCTTTTTTTCAGAAACATTTGGATGCTCTCTTAGAGCTCTGCCAACGTTCGAAACCGGGGCGGGGGCGCGTGGCAGCGGCCTTTGACGCGGTGCCGCTAACCGGATTGCTGCGCTGCAAATGAAGCCGTGGCCGGCGGGGCGGTGGCAAACCATGAGCCCGTCTGATACTTACTTCGGAAGGAACGTCCTGCACCACAAACCAGACGGTACTTATTAATACTCGAAGACTACTCTCGTAACATCCTTGTAGTATTTTGTGAAACTGGCTACAATCAGAGCTATCAATAATGGGTTTCTCCACTCTTTACATAAATAAACTTCCTAAATATGTATCAACATATACTCGATTAGCTAAATGAAAACACGTTCTATGAAATATATATTTTTGGGGGTTCGGGATACCAGATCCAATGAGCCGATAAATATTAGTTTCCATGAAATTATTCCGATAAAGAAATGTTTCCATGAGTTATAAACAGGCGAGATACGTCTCTCAATATCCGTTAAAACGCAGAATACGAAATAAAATGAGAGCAGACCTCATGACCTGAGCCTCATCACGAAAAGTAAGGCATCACTGATTGATTTATTGATTGAAATAAAGGTAAGCAATGACTCTACACTACGAGATCCGAAAGCACCCTAAGCGCTGGGCCTCCTCTCTCGGCTTTTCCGCTCAGGGTCATTGCGCCGGGGGCATTGTTGCGCGGGATTCACGACAATCG